GAGTGTTGTGGTCACTTTCCTTTCACGGATTACTTCAGGGTTTTGTTTGTTTGTTTTTTAATCTCTTCCAATTTGGGCCACTATTATAATAAGCACATTTGAGACTGCAGCAGGAAATTACAAGTATTATTGTAATTTGAAAAGAAAAAGATGTTGGGGCTGGGGATGTGGCTCAACCCTAGAGCACTCTCCTAGCACATGCAAGGCCCTGGGTTCGATCCTCAGCACCATATAAAAATAAATAAATAAAATAAAGGTATTGTGTCCAACTACAACTAAAAAAATAAATATTCAAAAAAGAAAAGAAAAATATGTTAAAAAGTTACATATATCTGTAAATCTTGGTTCATCTTGAGGCATAGATTTACTGGACATAAATAAAAGTCCAATTTGTAGTTAATCCTTGATAGGATAAAGAAGCAGAAAGACAAGATCTCCAGATTGATTTCACTTCTGTTCAAATATACATTTTTACACGGGCAAAACCTTTTTTTTTTTGGATGAAAGGAGAAATTTTCTCCTGGAGAAGGAAATCTATTGTTGAATTTTTCAAATTTTTTTTTACTATTTTTAACTTTTTTTCATTCTACAGAAGGATCAGACTATGCAGCAGCTAACCCTATGAGGGCATGCTTACCTTTAGTTGAAAGAATGATAAAAGCAATTAACACAGTTTGATTTCACTGATGGAACCCTATACACCTCCCTAAAATGAGAGGCTGTGGTATTACAGTTTTAGTCATCTTTTTTTTGTGGAGTCATATGGCATATAAGACATGGTTGTCCATGTGGCCAAGGCTGGAAGACAAGTAGTATGAGTGGGTTTTTAGTTAAGAAGATGTGATGGACCCTATAGTACAATCTGTCTTCAAATTCATACATAGAGAACTGGAAGGGAAAAAAATGAGACGTTTCCATGTAATTTCTTTCCCCTAAGAAAAGAAACAAAAATGTCTTATGTTGCACCATCTGACTTTTGGGAATCTTATAAAACATAGTTCCACTTTTTTTTATATATATATAAAAACATAACTCTTTTCCTTCAACCAAGATGGTTACTTGGAACAATGTTCCCAATCATGTGGTTAGGTCATTGCAGATTTAGAAGAAATTCAGGATCTGAAAAGAAAGGAAGAGGTTTTGGGGGGTTTTGTTTGCTTGTTTGTTTTTGTTTTTAGCCACATCTCCAGCCCTTTTAATTTTTTTTTTTTTTTTTTGGAGGTAGGGTCTTACTAAGTTGCTTAGGGCTTTGCTTAATTACTGAGGCTCACTAATTTGCTGAGGCTGACCTCAAACTTGCAATCCTCCTACCTCAGCCTCCAGAGTTCCTCGGGTTAAAACACATGAAGGAACGACTAAACCTGTCCCTTTTTTTTTTTCTTTAACAATTACATTATATGATGAACCAATTGTAGTGGAATACTGTCCTTGCTTCCAAATAAACAGAAGACCACTGTATGAGATGTCATGCCTTTCCTAAGCAGCATGAAACTTTTGTTTATGATGTTTCGTAGAGAAAGAATTTTAAACTTATTAGATGAAATTAAGAACAGATAGTATTAAATCATCTCTGTTTTCTGGAATTTTTACCCAAGGCCATGGGTTCTATGATGCTGGGAATATAGAGCAGATTTACCAAAAATTAAGAGTGAAAGAAATTGCCAAAAATGGGAAATGCTTAGCATTCTTATGATTAGATTAATGAGCCAATATGATTTGGAATAAAAGAGCCTTTTTCTAAAAAAAGATATTATGATGAAATAAACTTACAAACTAATATTTCTCATGAATTTATGTGCAAACATACTAAACAAATTGTAGCAAGTTAAATCAATGTTATATTTAGAAGGATAATTTATCATGAAGAAGAAGAGTGTCCCACAAATGCAAAATTTGTTGAACATTCAAAAATCAATTAATGATTATATAATTTAAAATAGCCAGAAGAGAGGACTTCAAAAGGTTCTCATGACACAGGAATTATAAATGTTTTAGATAATGTATAACTTAAGTATCCTTAAGTAATCAATACACAGTGAAAAAAATGTACTAAAACATCACATTTACCCCACAAAGATAGGCAATTATTTTCTATCAATAAAAAAAGGTCAGCCTTGAGCCTGGGATTGTGGCTTCAGTGGTACAGCGCTTGCCTTGCAAGTATGAGGCACTGGGTTTGATTCTCAGCACCACATGAAAAAAATAAAATAAAAACAAAACAAAGATATTGTGCCCATCTTTAAAAAAAAAAAATGTCAGCCTTGAGAGTAGTGCAGAGAATTCTTTGTCCTTCTCCCCAACAATATCTCAAACCTGTGAATGAGGTCAGAAGTTGTTTTTAAAAGAGAAAAAAAAAATTAATTCCAAAGTTAAAAATAAAACTCTAATGGCATGTCATGAGATTAATAAGTTTACTCAATAGTCACTCACATAGACTGAAACTTTCTTCCACAGTCCCCACTTGAAAGTAGCTTTGGAGAAGCTGAGAGATGTGAGGGAAACTGGTGGGTACTTCCAGAAGCTGCAAAGCAGGGAGGGAGTGCTAACAAGGGGGTCAGGAAGACCAGATCAAGCACAACAGAGAAATATGCACATACATATGTGCACTTCAAAATCTTGGCTACAGCCAGCTCCTCGTCTGATATTTTATTTTACTTCTATGTAGGCAGCAACCATCTTTCTCACTTCAGATTTGCCTGCCTTCGGAGCTGGAAAGTGAAACTATCCTTGAGATTGTGCTTGAGGAAGGAGAAGGCTAGAGAAGAGGGAATTCTAATTTCTAACTTCCTTTAGGAATTGTGAAATGGACATTTGCTAATTGATTTAACTAATTCCTATTCAAATTATAATTATCTGACTCCTCAATAAAGTATAATATTCCTTGTTGAAAAGTCAATTAATGTGATTCATCATACTAAATAAAGAAAAACATATTAATCAATGTAGAAAAGAATTGAACAAAATGTTAAAAAGAAGAAGAAAATGTCTTGGCAACACAGTAATAAAATGGAACTTTTCTTAACCTAATACAAGTCGTCAATAAGAAATCTACTCTTACATTCTAAAATACCATTTACTAGAACATCATGAATATGCTCTAGTGATAAATCTGACAAAACGTGTGCAAGTCCAATACACTGAAAACCACATTAGCTGAGATAAATTAAAGAAGACCTCTTAAAAATAGATACATTCCATTTATGGATGAGAGACTCACTATGGTTAAGATGCCCATGATCAGAAAGTTGATGTATTGGCTTAATGCAATATCAATTGAAATTCCAGAAGGATCTTTTGTGGAAGCAATATGCTGATGCTAAAATTCATATGGAAATACAAGAAGTTAGAATAGCCAGAAAATTTTAGAAAAAACAGAACAAAGTTGAAGAATTTCCACTACCTGACTTTAGAACTTCCTGTAAAACTATACTAATCATGAAAGTGTGACAATGGTACAAAATCAGATAGATCAATGAAACAGCAGTCTAAAAATGAACCCACGTATACATGGGCAATTGATTCTTAACAGTTTTGAAAGCAAATCTGTGGACAGAAGTCTTACAAACTGTCTTATCAAAATGGCATTCATATGCCCATATGACTTTGTCTATGCCCCCATTATATAAAAATAACTCCAAGTGGATAAAATATTTAATATAAAACCTAAAACTATAAGCATGGAATAACATCTATGTAACCTTGGGTTATATAAAGATTTTGTAGACATTACACCAAAACCATGATCCACAAAGTAAAAATGTTGGTCAACCGGACTTCATCAAAATTTAGTCCTTCTGCTCTTGGGTAGATAGTATTTTAAAAGATGAAAAGAGCCACAGAACAAGAGAAAATATTTGCAAGTCATGTGCCTGATAAGGATATTTATATCCAGAAGACATAAAAACTCTCAAAATGCAATAATAAAAACCAGATAATCTACCAAAAAAATGAGCAAAAGATTTGAACATAAGTGTCCTCAAAGCCTTTACACAACATCGTAGGTCATTAAGGAAATGCCAATTAAAACCAAAATGAGATAGCACTACATTTAGAAGATCTCAAATCAAAAAGACTATACCAAGTGTGGTTGTGGATGCAGAATAACTGGAACATTCATATATTGCCAGTGGAGAAATAAAATGGTTAAACTAGTTCTTGGCAGTTTCTTAAAAAGTTAAATATGCATATCATATGATCCAGCCATTCTACTCCTAGGTATACGCCCAAGAGAAATGGAAACATATGTTCATGCAAAGACATATACATGAATATTCATAGTAACTTAATTTCCAAATGCTGTGTGAAATAAATCAGACTAAAAATAGCACATACTGTAGAATCTAATTTATATAAAATTCTAGAAAATGGAAGCCAATATATAGTTACAGAAAGCAGATTAGTTATTGCCCAGAATAGAGGGGAAACAGAAAGGAGAGAAAGAATACTCCAAAGGGGCACAGAATACTTTTGGGGTGATCCACGTGTGTGTGTGTGTGTGTGTGTGTGTGTGTGTGTGTGTGTGAGAGAGAGAGAGAGAGAGAGAGAGCATGTTTATATGTATATTAAAATTTACTTACAAATCATGGGGCTGGGGATATAGCTCAGTGGTAGAATACTTGCCTTCAAACATGAGGCCCTGGGTCTGTTCCCTAAGATCAAAAAAATAATAATAACAACAGTGTAAAAGTATATACTTTAGGGAAATTTATTATATTTCAATTAAGCCTCAATAAATATGTTTTTTTAAATGAGTAAAAACAAAATCGATGAGCATTATTGAAAATCCAAGTAAAAAACAATTGTTAACCAAAAAAATTGTGGAACTAGGTACCCATTGTGGACTGAGTACTATGCTAGTTACTCCTGAGGAATATAAAATTAGTAGAGTCCTGGCCCTTAATCACGTATCACAACCAAAATATTTACAAGGAAGCACATATTGGGTATCAAACACAAATTCTGCTAATTAACTTTCATTAGAGTTAACTATATATACATATACATGTAGATTTAAGGTATGGATAGATATAAACATTCCTGTGTAACAGAGAAATTACAAGGACATTCATTCCCATTTTAGAGTTCACTATAGTTCTTTTAAATAAAGATTTTTTCCCATGCATTCAAATTCTATAACCATAAAGAAATCTGCAAACATTTCAGAAATCTACCTCTTAAATAAATAAATAAATGCATCACCTTGTAAATATCATTATATACAGCAAAGCTTTTAAATCAGAGAAAGTTCCCTGAAATAGGTAAGTTTTAGCTGAATTTTTAAAGACTATTAGGACTAGAATGTAGAGGAGGACTTGGATAAATTATTCCAGATGAATAAAATGGAAAGCAGAGGTACACTAGAGAGTTTGGCTTGAAGGCCATCAATTTAAAAATTTATTTAAATAAGTTAATTTTTAAAACTTGCATACCTTACTTGGAGAAGCCATGGTTGAGAATCATTGGGTCTATTTCCACAAGAAATGTTGACCACCATTTGAGGAATTCACACTATAAGGTATTGATTTAACATTGGAGAACCATCTTATAAGCTCCACTTTCCTGTACTCTCTCTTACCCAAACTCTCCCCACCCACTTTAGTGACCTACCCTAAGCCAATCCCAGAAGGACACGACCTCTTGACTCTGGAAAGCTCCATGGTGCCATTGACCTAAACCAATCCCATGCTCTTCCCCACCTGCCTCGCTCTGATGCAAGCACCCCCAGCATATCCCACAACGCCACAACTCCAACTCCAAACCCCTGCCCCACAAAAGCTGAATACCTGAATATCTCCAGCGCCTCTCTCCACTCTGTAGAGGGATGGCCTTTACTTGTCAACTTTGACAAATAAACCTTTGTATGGATCTCTGCCTGGCCTCCATCCTTCATTTCTCCCTTGCCCATCTCTCTCTTCCTCACTTTGCTTTCACACCCCAGCATCTCCCCCTCTGCCTGGCTCTCTCTCTCTCCCAGGGGCCTCACCTCCACCCCAGAGGCATTTCCTCCTGACCCTGAAGGAGAAAAGAAAAATGTCCACAGGCTACCAAGGGGAGAGTGGTAGTTGCACTAGTTTAATCTGGGAAAGTATTTCCTTCTAGCCACCAAGATGGCCTTCTGCCCACGTTCAAGGGGCCTGCTCAGGGAAGTTAACAGTGCATCTGCATTCAGTGAAGGTCTTGGAGGAGACCCAAATCACCACATTCGGCAGAGTTCCAGGAACTCCGAGATGATGTACGTTCCAAACAGAAAGAAAGAACACAGAAATCAAGGCTTGAAGTGGAGCCCAGAAAGGAATCTAGTAACAGGAGGCATGAGTGGGGAAAATGAGCATTTTAAATTCAAGTTGCTTGGGAATTCTCAGAAACAAGATAGTCTACATGGTTAAAGTTTGTGAAGTAAGCTTTTTACAGCATTCCTTTTTGTTCATTAAATATTTGACTGTGACTCTGAAAAAGAGTGCTGACGCAGTCTTGCCTATGGAGGAGAACCCTGGCTGATTCAGAGTAATAAATAGTCCCATGTGTACATATACCAAAGTGGAATATTCAGAAGGAACATAATATTAACAACTAGAGGCTGCTTTCTAAGCACATATGTCACTTTAAAGTTACTACAATAACAATATGCAGCAATAAGGGACATCATTATTTTTCAACAGGTGGTGAAATGAAAAATGAAAAGAAAGCTCATTTTTAAAAAGTGAAGTCCACCAGGGAAATTTCGATGCACTGTAATATGGATGTACCTTGAGGACATTATTCTAAGGGAAATAAGGCAGCCACAAAAAAGAAAATTTTGTGTGATTCCACTGAAATAAGGTATCTAGAGACAGAAAGTAGAATGGTGGTTGCCAGGACCAGAGGGGAAGAGGGGTTGGGGCATTATTTAATGGTCCAGAGCTTCAGTTTTGTGAGTTAAAAAAATTCTGAAGAATAACTATATAGCAATGTGAATAAACTTAATGCCAAACTACACACTTTAAATTTGCTAAATTGTAAATTTTATGTAACATTATCTTATCATTTTTTTAAAAAAAAAATTCTATAAAGGGGATGGGGAGTAAGTTTGTAAAGTAACCACACTAATCTGAAAAGCAGTTGCAGAAAGACTAAAGCAAACTGGAAAATCTGTGAGACTGGGGGTGTAGCTCAGCAGGTAGCTTACCCTGTTATATTCTTTTACATGTGTTATTGTTTCAAATTCTCAAAGTAAGCCTGAACATAGATACTCTTTTCCTGACTTTGAAAATGAGAAAAATTAGGGGCAGAGAGGACAGCTATGTTGCCTGAATTCTCACAGTTGATCAACAGCAGAGGGAAACAACTGATTGCCTCTTCCTAGAAAATAAGAGATTCTTACAATGAAAGTTTGGAGCATTAAGGGAATAAGAGAGGAAAGATCTTCTGCCCTCCCCATTTTCACTTTTCTTTCTAACTTAACTGAATGCTGAGAAGAAATATAAAAACTAAGCCTAGCACTTATGGAGAAAATTGCAGGGGGAAAAAAAAAAAAAAACTTTGTTTCTTCATCAGCATAGGATTTAAGAACCTGACCAAAAAAGAATCTCCTGAAAATGGTGTCATGAGCCTGAATATGGAAAAAAATAGCCTCCAGCAGAAAAAACTAATTAAGGTTGGCAGCCAGGGTTCACTTACATATGTTTAAATTTTCTTTTGATATGGAGTGTTTTAGTTAGAATGCAGATTAAATTGATTTCTGCCACTTAATAAATACTTTTTATATAATTTAACCAAGAAAATTGCATCAGTCAAGGACACAGGGGGAAATGGATAAAATGGTCAAACTGAAGAATTTGTAGAACATTTAATAAAGAGCTCTTTTTGACTCTGTAAGCAGGGTAGATGCAAACCATCAAGGATAGGTTAGTTCCTGGGGGCTAGTGACCCCAGGGCTTAACCACCCCAAAAGATGAACAAAGGATTGAGCTACTAAAACTCAGAAAGAGGACTGCCTGACACTGTGGCTTTAGGCCATGGAATGAAGCCAGTTTCCAGTGACCCAGCAGGATGAGAGCCCAGAAACTGAATCTCCTAACCCTGGTCTCCTTTCTTTCTCTTTCCAATCTTTCGCCAGTGCTCCCCATTGACCAATTCCTACTTCAAGGTTCCTAAGGCACAGAGAAAGGTAGAAAAGAGTGGAGAGTGAATTTAATAGGGCAAACAGAATGTGTCCAGTCATAGAGACTGGCTAAAAGTTTACAGGTCATATGCAAAAATAATTTTAAGGATCAATTAACACCTGAAGCAAATCCTCTATTTTATTTTTATAAAAATATATTAGACCTAGGCAGATGGCATACACCTGTAATCCCAGTGACTTGGGAGGCTGAGGCAGGAGGAGCACAAGTTTCAGACCAGCCTCAGCAACTTTAGTGTCTCAAAATAAAAACTAAAAGGGGCTGGGAATGTAGCTATGTGGTTCTATCTGCATTACAGCAAATTTTAAAAAGAAAGAAAGAAAGAAAGAAAGAAAGAAAGAAAGAAAGAAAGAAAGAAAGAAAGAAAGAAAGGGATACAGCTAAATGTTGAGAAATGTTGTATTAGTAAGGTTTTACTATAATAATGCTGCATCACAAACAGCTCCAAAAATTTCAGTGGCATATAATAATAAACTTTTTTTTTCCGCTCTTAAACTCTGCGTAGGATACACTTAACTAATCTGAGTGTAGCCTCAATCTGAAGGATAGATTCATGTGTGCTTCACATTCTAGAATTCAGGTTAAATGATCACTGATTACTGTGAGTGTGCATATGATAGGAGCACAAGGAGAAATACAGAAACATGACATTTTGAAAACTTCAACCTGAAATTGGCATGCTTTCACTTCCACCCTATTCCAATGGGCCAGGGAAACCCTTTGACCAAGCCTAATTATCAATGGAGTAGAAAAGTCAAGGGAGGGGATATTAGAATAAATATTTTCTGAACAGTTATTTACCTATTAATCTTAGTAAAATTGCTTCTGGAAATAAATTTTACATAGAAGCACTCAATTATTGTCTCTACAAGCAGATTTTACCTCATTAACTATTTTTATGTATACATTTTTTTCTTAATAAATCTGCCTATTATTATATATCTTTGGCCAATCACATTTATCATTCACTTAAATGGAGGTAAGCACTGTCAACAGAAATATCAACCTGGACACTCATAGTTCTCTTTACATTCTGTTCTTTTGCCTCTCCAAATTATCTGGTAATATAGAACAAGATCTAGCACCTAAAAAGCACTACAAGATTATACGTTGTCCTCACTCAGTATTTCCACAATATTGCATCATCTTTTCTAAATCATTAGCAGAAGAGATCAATTTTTAAAACTTATTGATGATTTTCCAAGATTTTTATGTTCAATGTTTTCTCACTGCACATCTACAGTTAAAGTGTTTTTGCTTTACTAATTGATGCAAAAAAAATCTTAGAAAGGATTTAAGCAATTACATTACTAAGCTTCTTACCTTGTTTAGGAATTCTTCTGCAGTGTGCCTGACAAAGGGTTGTCTCACCTCTGCTTAGATAGCTCTGATAGCAGACATTAACCATCTAAGAGGGTCTCTTTGAGAGGCTCTGTTTGCTGGATTATTACAGTCTGCTGTTTTTTTTTTTTGTTGTTGTTGTTGTTGTTTCCCCAGTTGATCTAAAATGTTCTCTTCTGCTCCCTCTAATTGTTCTTAGGAATTTCCTTGGGAGTAAGCGAAAGGGTGAAAGGTGCTCAGTATTTACAGCAGTCAGACTGTGTGCGACCCTCCCTGATCCTACTCCCATCTCTAACTAAGCATTCTAGACTTTGTCCCTGGGCTCTTTTGAGAAGTCCTCCCACATCATCCCTCTAGAACACTTCTTGTCTCCGTTGAACTCTTTTGGATTTTGTTGAGAAAAAAAAATAGATTCAAAATAGACTTAATTCCATATTTTAAATACTAAATGGATTCATGTTCACCATGCCTTCCTCAAACAGCCAATCTAAAACAGAGCCTTTTTAAAGCAGGTGTGCATAAATATATTCTGTCAGAGTATTTTGTTCTATGCCTTCAGGACACTTACCATGATGTATATCTCTACTTTTAATCGCTTTATTCTTATTTAATTTAAATTATATCAAACATTATTAAATGTACACTCAGTAACTTAATCATACATATGATATCTATCCCCCCCTACTGGTCTATAAATCCTGAGGGATCTATCTTAGCTACCACTTATTTCTTATTCTCAGCATAATGCCTGACATATGGTAGGTATTAATAAATGTTTGTTGACTAATTTAAAAGTGTCTAATAAAATGAAATTTATATATAACCATAATTCAAGGAAGCAGAGCAGGGTGGTCTTTCTAGTTATAAAATGTTCCCTGGAAGAAATGAAGTTTAAGGTGAATTTAGAGAAAAACAAGTGTCCCAGATTGATGGGGGAGTAGAGGGGAGAGGCAGGGGGGCAGGGGGAGGGGAGGGGGAGGGACAGGGAGGAGACTGCTGAGCTCGCAGCAGCATATTACCTAGAAAGCTGGAGACAGGTAGCAGTTCACTAACAGTCATCTCCTTCCTAGGCACATGATTCAGGCTACACTGCCAAGCTCCCCTTCCCTTTAGGCAGCTCACCTGCCAAGTTCTCACTGGGGGAATGTGAGCATAAGTGTTGGTCACCACTTCTGAGCTTCTGTCCCACTGATTCCAACCAGATAGGGCTGTGACCCGGCCACAGCAATGCATATGGCAGCAAGATCGTAGGCGGTGGACCCAAAGTTTGAAAGGAGGCCCAGTCACTTGTGAGAGTTCAGCATTCCTTGAAAGAGTCAGTTGCTCATACACACCCCACCCCACCCCACCCCCTTGCCCGCCACCACAATTTTTGTGTGTCTTGTCTTTCAGCAGCATGGAACAAGAGTTGTGTTTTCTTTTGGTTTTGTTTGCTTTAAAGGGTAGAATGGGTGGGATTGGTCAATGATGACAGGTTGCCAGAAAGTATAATGGGGTCTGGAAAGTAAATTCCATAGAGGTGTATGTTTCCCATTTATGTATTGCATAAATATATTTATATGTAAATC